TCAATCCCCGGTTCTGCAAAAAAATAAATAAAATAAATAAATAAATAAATAAAAATAAAAATAAAACACAAAAAGAAACAATTGAGACTGGACATTGTGACGTATGCCTATAATCCCAGCTCTTGGGATGCTGTAAACAGGCAGATCACTGAGAGTCCAATCTAGTAGTGAGACCCTGAACACCCTGTAGAACCTTCCCTAAAAATACAAAAAAAAAAATTAAAATAAAATAAAACTGAAAGGGCAGATCAACATATGAAATTCAACCAATCTAATATAGCATATAATATAATTTCAATAGAATGGAGGGAAGAATACCTGATGATCTCAACTGCTATAGAAAAACCCAAAGAGCAGAGGTTTATTTTGGCTCACAGTCTCAGAACACACATAGTCGGTTGTGGCCACAGCAGAACCTGCACAGAGAAAGAGCATGGTGGGGGAAAGCTGCCTTCCTCCTGGTGAGTGGAAAACACAGAGAACGAGTAGCTGAGGCCGGGAACCCTCTCACCCAGGTCTGGTCCCCAGCAATCCACCTCCAACAGGGCCCCAACCCCTGCCAGCACGTTCATCTATGAGCTCTCCAAGGGATGACTCCCAGGGAGTACAGCACCCCTGATGATCCAGTCACCCTCCCACCCTCCGAACACAGGAGACTTCGAGGGTCACTTCAAATTCATGCCTAGGCATACGCTCCCCGAATTGGAAACAGCTATTCCAAACAAAAAAGCTGCCTACATAAATATTCCTAGTAGTGCGGTTATAGTAGCTGAACAATGCAAACAGCTATGCCAATGACTACAGACAGACCAGGAGATAAATAAAAGTAAAGAGTATCTATCATGGATATGTACCCATAAGGGTCAACGAAACACTGATGCCAGCTACGAAATGCAAGGACCATGAAAATAGTGTACTACCCTGGGAGACAGAACTCAGCACGATTCCATTTATGTGAAATGCTCCAGAGTAGGGAAGCCTAGAGAGACAGAAGGAGAGTGGTGTTTCCAGGGTCTTGGGAGCATTTGGCATGATTGTTCAATAGGTACCAGGATTCCTTTAGAGGTGATGAAAAATTTTAAATCCAGATAAGAGGCGTGATAGTGTAGTTATTTTAAGGGTGCTAAATGCCCCTGGCTTGTTTATTTCAAAATAGTTCATTTTAAGCTATGTAAACTATATGTATTTATTTCAGAAATAATAAATCAGGGGAAATCTTGCAACGTATTTCCTTTGCCTACAGGTGGGACAACTACAACTTACAGAAATGTTTTCCAGGCAGAATGACTCAAACTGTAGTAATTTGGATGTGGAAGAATATAAAGCTCATTTTGGAGAGAAATGAGAAAAAAGTTGGGACAACTGATCAACAAAGCAGTATTTCTGTCTTTTCAGAAACTTTGATTTTTCAATCACAACATTAAGAGCATCAACCAGAGTGACCTTCTATGGAGTGACAGCACACACCAAAGTTGGCATGCCACAGATAAAATTTAGCTCTGGACCCTCTCAAAAAAAAAAAAAAACAGCAGATTTAGGCCCAGGTAACTAACTGATGGGTAAAGTTCTCACACAGGCATAATTTTAAAATGAGATTCAATCTCTGTGAGTGGGAAAAAAAAATCAAATTTAACATCAAAAATTACAAGATGGCATCCTGCAATTCTGCCAAGAACTCAGCAAAAAAATCTAAGAAACCCAATGTTAAACCTATCCCTCGGTGAAGGCAAATGTCCTGGAGATTCGCTGCCCCTTGCAGTAGCTCCCAGCCCCCTCCGGTTGTGTAAAATAACTGAAGTAGAATAAAGACAAACCTAGTTCCCAGTTGCACTAGCCTCACCTCTAGTGCTCACCAGCCACATGGGACTCACGTCCAGCACACGGAACCACTCATCCATAAAGCATTTCCATCGTCACAGAAGGACCTAGTGGACGCTATTGCCTGGAAATGTTGCGCGTGTGCATTTCTGATGCTGGCTGACAACTCTGTGAGGCTTCTGCTCTCCTCTCTTGACTCTTCCCACATCTCGATAAACAACATGCGTACATCTCTTGCTTCACAGACCTGAGCTAACAAACTGAGCTGACCCAGGCAGTTGGGAACAGGCATGGCACATATACTCCTGACCCTAAGTTGATTTATCTTGATGTTTGGTTGAATTCCTCACATTTTAGGATCTCCTTGGTAACCTTTTCACCCCTTCGTTTTCTGAGGTGGCTGGCTGGCTATTATAATTCATCATGAACGCATCTCACTCCAGGCCTGGCTCCCCTGACAGAAGGAACAGCCGGTCTTCAAGAGGTCAAAGGCATTTTTCTCCCTTCGTCTTTCTCAGTTTCCAGCATAGATTTGTCACTCTAAGAAAGCATGAACTCTGGATTTGATGTACTTTAATTGATTTCACCCTCGACAAGTCAGACTGTCCATCAGCTCGTTTCTTGGGCCTCCCTGAACTTTCCTTAAGGCTAAGGTTTTCGTCTGTCCCTGAAACCAAGCTGTCACCATGCAATTTACTCCCCCTCCTCAGCTCTCAGGACCCATTTTATTTTCATTCCCATAACTCTCCTGGGAGAAGAGGGAAAGATCAGTAAGAGGGAGGGAAGGGGAGGGAGGGAGGGAGAGAGAGAGAGAGAGAGAGAGAGAGAGAGAGAGAGAGAGAGAGAGAGAGAGAGAACAAAAGGAATCAAGACAGGAGAAAAGAAAATAGACTGCTTTGTTCAAATTGTTAATAAGGTAAGACTAAGGAAAGGGATGAGTGGATGTAAGGATGGATGGGTAGATGGGCGATGGGTGATGGG